GGACTGTTTCAAGCCGTGCATCTGATTATGAGGATTTTTTTGAACATCGTTATTCTTTATCGCTCTGTGACTCATCTCATTCTTTCTCCTTCTGACTCTTCGAGGGCATGTAAAATTCTAACCCAACAGAATTCAGAATTTTGTATACTTGATTATATCAAGCAGTCGATCAATATTGAGACAACAAAATTCTGCTGAGAACTGTTAGGTAGTAATTCACATAATTCTATTCTCTTGTTTCTTTTATATGTGTTCTTGTTGTTCTCTCTCTCATTGTGTATTTTCCTTTCGTTCTGCTATTGACTTCTATATGTTTAGATTTTTCCTTTTCTGTGCATGATATACGTTTTCGTCTTTTCCCTGGAGAAGTACTTTCTCTCCCCTCTATGTGTCATTTTTCATATATGTTATATCTCATAGAATTTTCCAATCGTTCTATCTCAACTCAATCACTTGTTGGATATTTCCTAAAGATGGGTGTTGTTCCATCCTATATAAGGCAGCTGATTTTCTATAAATAAACAGATAGAGAGAAGTATGATACGAATACTATCTTATTACCATCCAACAAATGATATAGAGTTAGCCACCTAACAGAATCATAAGCTTTCAACAAAACTTTAATTCAATACGTTAAAATTTTGAATTCTGTTTGGTAAGAATTTTGCAACTGCTGATCGATGGACATAGTGTTTCAAAACAGAATCAATATCATATAACCCTTAGTGAGTTGAAGCAATACTTTTCTTTGCTTAATATTTTATTATTACGTGAATTTGATAACAACTCATCAGGAGCATCTAACCAAGCTCGTACAGTCGATCTCAATGCTTTCAAACGCTGTTTGACACTTGTCGAAATTCGAACTATTCATCAACAACAAACATCCATCGAGCAAGTCAAAATCGGTACCTATATTAACAGCAACAAAATGCACAACATGAAAGTCGACTATCGTTGAAAAGGCTGCACGGTCGTAGAGAACGATGCCAGATGCTCTGAACATTTCTACACGTTTCATTTTTATAATAAAGAACTATAATTCTTGTACTTTTTGATCTCAAAACATTTGACAATAATGCTTGCTATACTTTGTATTTATTCAAAATATAAAAGAAAGAATAACAGTTTTTCTATTCAAAGTTTTGAATGACAATGCCTTCAGACTACGAATGAGTTCAAAGAATTCATCCTTCCAGGATAATAAAATAACTTTATTTTCAGAATAACTAAGTTCAATAAACATAAGTTAGATTAGATGAATTCAAAAGCTGATTTTCTATGAAAAGATGAAATTTAAATGAAGTTTCTCAATGACTTTATCCAAAGAACATTTCATATTTAACACAAAAGAATTTCTTTTAACAAATACAAGGATAAACACTTTATTGTTGAACAAGACCAAAACGCGTCACGGTACCTTATGAAGATTCTTTGTTGAATTTTGTTTGAATTAAACTATTTAACTCACCCCCTAATTTATGAAACATCTCTCTAGAAAACGGGAATATTAAGTTAGAATTAATCTGTAAGTGCATCGTCTCAATCATTTTGTTCTTTTCTTCTTCTTTTATTTATTCAACCTAATGAATGTTATTTAAAAAGTAAAATCGATTGACATGACACTAATTTCGTATATGTATATAAAAATATGCATGGATGATGTAAATATTATGATCTTCACCTTCTATTCGTCTTCTTTACTTTTCTTTTTTTCGATGCTTCTCGATAGAGGTAAAAGGTACTTTTCTCTTTCTGTGCCTTTGACACGCATCAATGGGATATATATTCTCTTTCACCTTGTTATACTTAGCTATACATATGTTCTTCACTCTATAGTACTTCCTCTCTCTCCCTTTTTTTTCGTTTGTATTGCAAGATCTTCTATGTTCATGTACTCTTTATATCACTATATAGTGTTCTCTCTGTCCTGGCTTTCTTGTTGCTGTATATAGTACGATGAAACATTAAATAAAGGAGTAGTTTAACCAGCGGATTAGAAAACAAGTCTCACATCGGGGGTGCTTTGGCACTCCCAACTTCTGAAAAAATAACGGAAACAATTTTTCTCCCTGTCGGAGTACCCTTGAAGTCGATGCGAGCACCCCTAAGTCATGACTCATACCACCGCCTCTAGGGTAGAAAAGTTATTGCACAAGGTTTGCACAATTTTCTCTTTCGTCGTTTCTTTCATTTCTGCACAATGAATTGCGTGCTCGATAGGAGGTGAAACGCGAGAAGTGCGAAGAGCTGTGAAGAAAATAAAATTCACGTATCGTAAACAACGTTTCATTTTCTATTTGTTGTTTTTTTCATATTTTGCCATGGCAAATGCGGATGAAGATCGCGGAATGACCGGTCGTCATATCACACTTCTTGTTTTACTCGTTATTGGCGTACCTCTATTAGGATTTTTCATCTCTGGACTGGTGATCAAGGTGCGCGTAAACTACCAGGCCCGTCATTATCGGGAAACGACCTGTTCCATAAGAAGCTACCGTTTTGAACAAAGGCACGACAAATGGGCAAAGGGACCTAATAAGGATCCATGGTTCGAAATCTCTTATGTTTCTTATGTCGCTCAAGATGGATCTATCGTAAAGGGTGAAATCAGTACACGAATGTATACTAATCCTCCTCGTGGAAACGTGGTAAGCTTATCCTCACTATGTAGGGCATACGCATAGGGAAAGTCTGTTCGCAAGTGGGATCTCTCTACGTCCATCGCGCAAAACGTGATGCTGCATCGGATAGAACTTCAAACATTGTCTTTTTTAGTCTGGCACCTGTTTCTACCATGATAGCGAACCGGCCATGGTCAGATGGGAGCTGCTCCCCGACAAAGCAGTAAAATATCATTTTATAGCGGGATTGTTTGGTCTTGGTTTGATTGGAGTAGGATGTGCTTCAATGTTGATCGCCAACGCGTGTTGTCCACGCAGCGAATCCCTACAGTCGATACCAGAGCCAAGTGCTGAACCGTTTATTACTCCGGCGGACCTAGCCGTACCTGATTTACACACTGCTCCTTCATCGACGTACGACACTAAGCCAAATTAGCTGTTCTGACGTCACCTGAGACCAAAGTAAAGAACTGCATGTTCACTTGTGCGGATAAACTGTGAATATTCAGTCGATTGTTCTCTGTTCTTCATTGTTATTTCTTATACTCAGAACAAAAGGTCATCATTCTCTTTTTATAGTCTAAATAAAATCCATTGTCTACGCTCAAAAAGCTAAGAGGGGTGCCCCGAAATCAATAATCAAGGGGGGAAAAGCAGAAAAAAGTAACGAAAAAGAGGGTGAGCCCAGCATACCACGATTCAGATTTTGTGTTAGCTAAAACAACTCATCAGATGGTTTTGAATCTGTGTAGTTAGTAATAAAGGAATACAGAGTTTAATTGGGCGCGCATTCGTGTTATTCATTTAGATAGAGATACTAAGCAGAAGGATGATAGGTAACCAAGATAATAAAAATATATTTGGTTGTTATTGTTGAATGAAGAATAATCTTGTATTACTCGATATAATTTTATAAAACACATACGTTCATGTGAACTTTTTGTTCCGAAATAATAAGAACAATCCTCTGCACTATATTCAAAAATTTTGATTGGAGCTTTCTCATGTTTCCAGTGTCTCTTAGGCCGAAATTCAGTAATCAATTCTACGAACATATGAGAGTATGGGATCCCCAGCACCTTCTTAGCACCTCAGATGCTGAAACTTAGTGATGGTGCTCAGAGAGTTTTGAATATAAGCGCTAGAAACTGAAATTATAACTGGGAATACAAGTCAGAATATTCAGGTTCCCTTTTTTGATCAAAATAATGCTATTTCGAGGTAATAACGATTTTTTACAAAACTTGACTAAAGGTTTCAGAATTAGGGAATCAAATGGGACTATCAGCTACCAAAAATTTTGAAATCTTTTTTCCACCAGGGATATCGCCAGACATTAACTACTTAACACAATTCATAGGGCTAGATGGAGTACGTGCAAAGAAAAGGACAATAACACAAAAGCTATTCTCTTACTTCATACCTTAGAAAAAAGCGCTGGAATATTCTTCTGCACCTTTGATCACATTTTTTTATTCAAAAATATTCTTTTGAGCTTTTTCATTACCGACTTTCGTGCACTATATATATATATACATACAGTTGCTCACTACAACAAAGGCTTTCATTGATTATTAACATAATTATTATTGGATACAAGAGAATGAATAGAAGATAAATTAATTTTATAAATTTGGCTTTGCAACGCGATAACAAACTTGTCTGAATATCTGACAGAGAAGCTGTGTCCTAATTCAAATAATACCGTCTGTTAGGAAATTCAATGAGCTTCCTTTCTCACACGAAACAAATAGCCCCTAGCTACCTCTCTCTTGAAGTAGAGTTTATATTTCGACTGCTATCGACAGTGATGAAAGATCCGTGCCCTAGACAATATCTTAAAACCGTTCATTTCGATCGTTATAAAACATATAAGAAATTTCTGTTTTTGTACAGCAATAGTGCTCTATCCTTACATCTGTCTAATTAAAGGAGATTTTTTTCGAAGTTCAAAAAGTTTGTATAAGAGTTTTCCGGCGCCTTGTGTTCTAAGATTTTTTGTGGTCTTCGAAAAATATTTTCAATCAAACTCTTTTATATATTTTTGCACTAGACACTATACTCATCTAATAAAATAGTATTAAGTCTCTGTGACATTGCATCGCAGAGTTACGTCAAAAATAAAATTAATGCAAAACTTTTGCCCCACCCGTTTGAATGTCATCAACGTCTACCGCCTGTTAGCAGTTATGTTTGTTTTCATATTTGACTATTTTCGTCAATTAGGACAATTATTCCTTTAGCAGCGGACGGGTTTTGTTTGCTTTAATATTTTGCGCACTATACAGTATGGACGGCGAAGAAAGCGAGAAAGGGCAACATGGCTCATATTTAAACAGCGTCTCACACTTTAAGCATCTATCTTCTATTCGAATTATGACAAAAGAACTTTATGTTCGCTTCAAATTGTGTGATGGATCAGTGCAAACAATTCTTGGTGACATGCTCAAGCCCTATTCTGATACCTATCTCACTAAACTCGTTTTCAATCACGACTTCAAATCGACCAAAGATGGTCAAGGCCTGTTCTGGATCGACGAAGAACCACAAATATTCGCTGCAATTCTGACATTTTACCGGCATGGTCAACTTCTTCTACCCGATATTTTCGTCGGCATTCGTGATTCGATCATCGACAAATATTTACTGCCTATTGAAAAGTCCTCACGCGTTCTTGATCCTCCTGAATCGACAATAACGATGAATATCAGGCGTGTTCGTCTCCGTGGAGCAACACGGGCCTTTTCTTTTCCACCTTCGATGGAGACCAATAGATACCTATGCACCATAGTGGATCCAATGTGGACTGATTTGCCTGAATCGGATATCAATGATTTTTTCGTGGTCACATCAAGCGCTAATGGTATTCAATATGTGCGAAAGAGTTATTTGACTGTGATGAATTTTTTGATTGAACAAGGCTACGAAATTGAACGGTGGGACGAGAAGAAACAAGAAGTTGATTTGAAAAAAGTTTATATGTGAACAATAAGTTGTACATTTTTCTTTTCTCTTTTGTATTGTTAATAAACAAGATTGAAGAAGGTATGAAAGGAATACTGAGAAATGATTCGATACTAGTACTGAAATAAGCTTATGTAGAGTTTGATCATTATTGATAAACTTTTAAAATAATATTTGAAGATAAATTGAATGACAGTAGGAGTAGTTTACATTTGTGCTGAAAAAAAAACGCTAAGTTGATGAAGAATGGTGCATCTCGTTAAATGTTATTTTCCCAACTTGCACAAGTCAACAGAAAATCGAAACTCAGGGTGAAGTGACACTGAATCGGCATATGTTGAAAAAAATATTGTGGCTTTGTCGATGCTTTTACGAAAAAAAAGTTGAACACACTTCTTTGCAGAATAAGAAGCAGCAGAACTGATGTGTAGTGTGAAATATCTTCCACATGTTTCGACGAGGTCGTTTTCTACCAATATGATGTCATTGTTTAAAGTGTTTTGCAAGAGGATGTTTTTCTTGTACTGGTATTGTAATAAATATCTGTACTTGTTAACTCACTATGTTAAAGGGGGATAAAATCGAGAAAAAACAAGTTCGATTTGGTGTCGAATATCCTTATCATTCGAAATTAGAATATAGTTAATCGAGTTTGATGGTTTTTAAGATGAAACTGCCTCAACTGTTCTTATCCGGTCAATACGTGATGCCTATGAAACAAGAATGAAGTTGATGAATAGCATCAATCTTGACATTTCTCTTGTACACGTGAAGTTAATCGGTGATGTCGGCTTTGTAGAGCCATTGAGATACAGTCGTTGAATATTGCCTCAAGCATTTGTAGAACTCACCATGCACAGGATGTGTATAGTCTTATATATAATTCACACTTAACCCTATGCCATAGTCATTTTTCCAACATCCGACAACTTTCCGCAAATCTTCCTTTCGACAAACAATTCTGAAAAGTTTTCCCAAGACTAGACCAATTAATTTAACAGGATTACGTAAAAGAAAAAGAAGATACGATAATGACTTTTGTATGCAATCCAATTACATAATGCCAGACTGCACTATGATGTCTTATAAACTTGTTGCTCGATATGAATTGATGGATTGATAAGAAAAATTATTTTTAAGTGCTAAATATGAACATATGTACTGTTAATGGATAGAATAGTATTTAGTTCCTAGTTCAAATTTAGATTTGAACTAGGAAAAAATGCTTTTTTGATCTGAACTATCCAAAGTGAACTAGTTCATTTTGAAATGTAATGACCGTATATAACTTACATATACTAGAGGAAAAGAAAATCTAACTCGCTTCGATCAAAGAAGAAGCAAAATCTGCTAAACACGTGTGTTTAACAAAAATATGCACTGCGAGTGATAAAAACGTATAGAATTTTTTCTCATTCATTTCTTTCGTCTTGTATACAGATTATTACAGATGTAGAAAATTAGTCATTTATTGTCTGAGATCGTAATAAGAAAAACACTTATACAAAGGATAGCCCAGGTATGCTGACTAGATTTGTATAATTAATTTTTTTATATTAAAACACGTACATTAAAAATTTGCCTCTATGATAGAGAGGTGCAGTAAAAGACGCTCTACAAAATAGCCTATGACTGATCCCCTCGAACTCATATAATAAAAAAGTTATAAGCTTAGAAATATGCGTCAGAAAAAATAATCGTGAGCATTCAGCTCGATTTCATAGTTTTATTTTCTTACTATATGAGTTGAGAGAGATCGGTCATAGACAATTTTGTAGAGCCTCTTTTACTTCAACTTTGTATCATAGAGACAAATTTTTCCGTACGTGTTTTAAGATAGAAAAATTAATTATACAAATCGAGTCAGCATATCTGGGCCACCCTTTATGCACAAAAAAGAAAATGCCAGTTGTTAAAAGCATAGTGTTTGTTAGTTATTGATATCTTGATGATGTTGCTGATTTAGTTATTGGTACAGAAGCATATTTTACTTTAACATAACGAAATAGAATAAATATGCCAATAATAGCAAAAAGAATTACAACTAATTGAATTATTAATTCCGTACCATCTTCAATAATAGTATAAGTATTCGATGTGCTTGAAACTCTGTTTCCTGTTCTTTTATGAACCGCGTTGGATGAGTCATTGACATTCGTCACGATACTTAAAACTGTTGTCGCAGTAATAGCATGATGAAATGGCGTTTTAACAATACGAATAAGTGTTAAAGCAAATATACACCCGAGAACAATACTCGACACCATCATGATTGTTGTATTGTCACACCTAATTTTAAAAAAATATTTTCATAGAGAAATTTTTTTTCAATAAAAATTTTCTGATATACCATATAGCATTGACTGTGAAAGGAATCGTAATAAGAATAAGAATACCGAGAACAATCATAATAATAGCAAATGAATTTACTGGTCCTTGAATTGTATCAATAATTCCATGTATAACATAACAAGATAGAATACTTGATAGGAGAAATCCATAGAAAACAGTTAATAAAATTCGTATACCACGAATTCGCTGTTTTTTGTTGACAGGCATAGTTTATCTAGAAAATGAATAATAGCTATACCATGTTCGTGTACTTATCTACGAAGATGACTGAATAGTAACGACGAATACTCGAATCAACATACTCATAACTTTCTTTCTTGCATTTCATTTTACGTTTTTTCTGTTTTATTGTATGTCCATAAATGGATTTGTGTCACTCATGCACATACTCTCAGATTGTATATACATACAGAAAGGATTAAAAAATTCTCTATTTTACTACTTCTAACCAATATATCAGATCTCATTTTTCTTTTTCTTTCTGAATCTTATGAAAGTTCTCATCCTCGTTTTATAAATAGTGATGGATAAAATAAAAAACGGTTTTGGATTTTTTCTGACGCAGCCATATACTCAACAGCGATCCCTCGGTCGACGATTACGAACTCCGGATACGGTTGTCAACGATTGTATACAGGCCATATACGCTTCGTATACGACCATATTTCGCCGTAATACGGAGATCGTATAAGGAGCATCGACAGTCGTAAGCGACCATATTTTTCCTGTGTACGGTTGTAAACGAGCCTATTGTCTCCGTGCACGGAATGCGATCGTGTTTGCCGTTTTTCCCCTTTCGGTTTCTTATCAAAGGACAAAGGACGTTTTAGGGACATTTCAGTCCAATTAAAAAGTCGAGATACATTTGGATGAAACGTTCAACAAACGTTTGCCATAGTCATAGTAGTCATCCCTAACAATTTCAGCCTGATCGGTTAACTTTTCCTTTACTTCCTCAATGCGGTAGAATGTCGAAATGGAGTTTATTAGAACGGATTCATCCGCACCCTAATATAACATCTATTCACGACACGACTATTATCTATCTGAGACACAAAACAGTAAATCTGAATTATGATCCATTCGACAATTATAAATCACGACTATATTGGCCATTTTGCTGCCATTGTCATGATTGAAGTCTACCACAACATGTAAAAGGCACCTACCAACATCCATCCAAGGTGCTGAAAAGGCGCTTAGAGTGCAGAAGATACTAGTAGATTTCTAAAGTCAATATAGAAGTAGAGTAGTATTATATGTAAGGACAACCACGCTCTGTGTTAAGTTCATTATTTTTTCACCATCTTAGTGAACATACCAATGGTGGGCGAGGCATCGATTGTTATGCCACGAGGAGCCCGCCCGTGATGCACGACAAATCTGCCTAGCCGATCCCCGCAAATAATTTTTTTTTTGCATCCCTCGCCTCAGGCGTGACTCGTGTAAGCAGATTATCTGCACCGCCCCGCCTCCATGAAACCCTCAAAACAATTCCAGTGATCTCTTTTACATAGCTCATCCAATTATTACAAAAAAATTTTGGACGCAGCTACAAATATGGTAGAGATCGTCATTTTGGGCCCGGTCCTTGAGGATGTGAAAGCAGCTGTCATAATCTAGGTTCCACGTCAGCTACGACGATCTTCAGGTGGCTTTGTAAATCTTTAAAATGATTCAAATGAAAGAATCAAGTCAAGATTAATTAACTCTATTATAAATTTCGTATAAAAAACATTTGAAGTTCTAATTGGCAAACAATTATACGGTGCACATGTTGTTTTAATTCTTGACTCAATAATGAAAGAATTATAGGATATATGAATTAGAATAATAAGAAATTGTTGATTCGTGGAAGCTAAAAATACTCAACGAAACAGTTGGTGAAATCAAGAAACCTAAAGATGTTTGTTTTAAATTTTATGATCTCTATTGTTCAGTTATTCGTTGTGAAGAACGCACTCTTCTAACTTGCACCTGGTGCAAACAACATCTTTTGAAATGTTATTTTCAATAGTTTATCACCTTCTTGTAAAATAAAGTCGAAACTATTTATAAATGACGAGTTTCCATATATATAATACTCTACACTATTCAACCTCAGCTAAAGTAGTCTAAATGATGTCAATAAAACTTATCTCGATCTTGGAAACGTACTTCCTAACAAATCTGATACTTATCTTGAAAGCTGATATCAATATTTCATGTATCATCATGTTTCTGCACTCAATTAATGTCAAACTTAAAAATTGAATATCTTTGCCAAAGTGAGCCATCAGCAGCTGATATTTTAAATGCGTTAGTTTGTCAGTGAATGTGACTCATAATATAACTATTTATTTCAAATAATATTTTGACTCAACTAAACCATTTACAAATCTTGCCATTATATACATTTTGTACGTATATAATATATGTCAAAATATCCAGACAAAAAATTTCAAGAAATGAATTTATTCTAAAAAAAAATTTCGTCAAAAATATACAGATGGCATGTCTGCAGGCTCAGTTTTAGATGGAGATCGCGAATCTGCTATTGTTTTTATGAAAATATGCACATGAAGAATGAAAATGGTAAAATACGAGCACATGTTGGCATATAGCTCAAGACATTTCAATAATTCAATAGCTAACAGTTGATATACGGCCTATTAATAACCCTCATGAATCCAGTTTTTCATAAGCATTAATTTGGCATGTAATGCTCTGTAATATCATTTATAGTTTAATTTGCAAAGGGACACGTAATATTTTCGAAAGAAATGCATAAAATACAACCAAAGTTTAATAAAAACCAGCGTAGTCGATAGCTCTCAAAAACATCTATTTGACTGTAGCATTACTAAAGAATGAATTTGTAACTTGAGCGAGCAGAACACATTATAAGCGGTTTCGTTACGGAATTTCGTCAAAAACTCAGGTGGATTGTGGACATTCGACGAACTGATCTAACGCTTTCAGTCTTTTGTGAAGCTCTTAAACTGGCATAACCCATCATCTTATATCCATTGATGTAGAATTTGACTAAATCCAGCTTACTTCAGACAAAAAATCTCGTTTATTTTTCATTGCAGTTCGATTTCCTATATATGGGCGCTGCGGACGGTGTTAAAATTCGCAAAGATGCAGCAATAGAAATTCTAGAGAATGCACTTTATGTGGTTAGGCAATATCACTCCAAAGTGCTGGATTATTACAAGCAATGCCTATTGTTAGGTAGTGACAGCTCCTTTCTTCTTCTTTTGCGCTTCTCTCTATACATATACTGTGCTTATCTTTCCTTCTCCTGTCACGTTGTATGGATTTATCCTTTCGTTCCTCTTTCCATCTCTTTCGTTCTCTCTTATGTACATGTATTGTACAAGTGATCTTTCTTCTTGTATCTCACTTGGATTCTTCCCTTTTTCGTTGGATGTTTCCCTTTTGTTCTCATATATATAGTAGTTGATTTGTCGTAAATAAAGAGAGAAGCTCGAGAGCGATAACGTGAAGTCAAGGATCTATTGGAATTATAGCGATAGATATTTCAAGTGAGAATTCCAACCTCACACCTATCTATTCAAGAAAACTTTGTTCCTGTTTGACATCACGATCTTACCACCTCTCACATCCATATAGCTTTGGTACTCAAATATCTCGAATACTACAGAGACGCGCTTGAGCATTCCAAGAAGACGTTCAATACTGATCTTCACTCTGATCATCCTAATAAACAATTGTATCAGCAACATTCTGATCTTTTAAAGGGTATGCTGATGTGATAGACTCGTACCGTAGATTCGAATATGACATAAACCAACGAAACTTTGAAAAAACTGCATGTTAATAAACATTTTGTTGTACTTTTCTGCCATTCTGCTTGCTTTTTTTGACAAATTATTCGTAAATGATGCTATAGTTTCTTCTTCTTTTCTGTTGCATATCCATTACTTTTCTATTTCTTTACTTACCTTTTAGTCATACACCGATGGTATAGTCTTTTTCTTTCTTACATAGAACGCACTGGAGCATATCTTGCTCTTTTTTTTTGTATTTTATGACCATGTGTGTTAAAAAAACAACGTAATCCAGTTGGAAAATACCAACCAGCAAACGAAAAGGTAAGGGTTAAAAACAAACAACGTTTTTGATGCAAAGCTATACGACGAATGATTACAATATGCATGATATCATGTCTGACGACCAGAGAAATCAAACCGTTCCAGTTGATATAAACTACGAACAATTTTCATTAGTTTCATTTAACGACCATAGTAATAAGTGCTTTGATAATGTTTTACATCAAAAATTACGTGCAGTCATTATTTTACAAAATATTTCAATTATGCGAACAGTGGATCAGAGGATACCGAATGTGACCGAGAAAACTATTTTCATTATGACTGCTTTTGAAAGAAGTGTTGAGGAATTAGTGTTTTATGCATTTTTTGACAGTCGTCACTAAACATCATTTATGTTTATCATGGCAAGAACGAAGGCTGGCACAAAAATATCAAAAGGTAGTTGAAACAACTTATTCTTTCGGAAACACTGAACTTCTTCCGATATGTTTTGAACACTTTGATAATGCTGAACCCGGGGATTTTTAAAGTAAAACTAAATATGAATTACGTTTTTAAGATAAGATGTTCATAGATCGATAATGCTCTTCTTAGACGATTTTCCAAGGTGAATTTCGGACGAAAACTTCGGTAGGCAATTATGATGACGAAGGCAGTGCGAACGTCGAAGATTCCGCATAGCATTTGAAAAATAATGAGTAACTTTTCGTTTGTGGAAAATTTCAGACGAACTTTTTTCTGGTTCTGAAGAATAGATACTAGATTGAACAAATCGAATAAATTACTTTCATCAATCATATATCAATACTTTAGTTATCTGTAATTCGAACCTTTTTCAAATTTTCTTCCATTTTCAACAGTCCCCACTTCTACAGAGTTATACGAGATTGGCCTAATGGTTAACACGCTTGTATTAATACATAGTTTTGCGGCTACAAGAATAAATTGCCTACTGGCACAGATTCTCACGTCTCTAACACTGGCTGATGATCTATAATCGGTTCTTTTTGAAGTTGAGGATGATTGCAAGATCCGAAACTACTGAATATTGGAAGTATAAAACTATTTATCGATATTTCATCATAGTATCGATTTTATCAAGAAAAATAAGTTTTATTTATGGCTGAATCAGTTGTCAAAGTAAGAGTGGTTTCAAAAAGCCAGCTACATGAGGAAAATGGACTGTGGATTGTTATAGTCTTCAGTTGACAAGGAAAGATGATTCAGAGTTGAAACAAATTATACTGAAACAGATGAAAAAGGAGATGCTTGTGAGTGAAACAGAAGTATCCAGGAAGTCAAATAATCAAACTAATTTCATTATAATGATTAGTTTTGCCCGTTTCATCATAAATATTTCATTAATTCGATTAGAATTCAATGGTTTTCGCCGTTTTAATGAAATGAAATTGATTAATTTCGCATGATGTTTTCAAAATAACCGATTAAAGTATCCGTTTTATAAGTAGAAATTTCATTTTTTTGATTGAAATCTCATCATTTTTTTCCCATTTTTTGACTCCCTAGGTATAATGGTCAATGACCATTACGAGTCATACTCTGGCAACCAATGCTACTAGTGAAACAAAGCAACAATCTTTCATTCAACTGATCAACACAAGCGCATTGTTCTTTTTATACTTCGAAGTTTCTTGAAAGAAGGCAGAAGCAGAAAACGGCACGATAACTTTTTCTACCTGATCTATCAGCAGATTTTAACTGTTCCTTCAAGGTAAGCCTAGTTTTTAATTTGTGTCCTTTCTAGATTTATTTGCCGTGGCCAACATGAGTGATGTGCCGCCTAGTCGTATTGAAATTCTTCCGGACGAGATTTTCTTACAAATATTTGCTTACATTCGCCCGATCGATCTTTATAAGGGATGGTGTCAAATGAATACACGAATTGAGGCCATTTGTCGATCTGTGCCTATTAGTATTCAGATTAACAAGCGGGATGACATAAACGAATATCAAAACTGTATTGACTACTTTTCCACTCAGATGGTGTACTTAAAAGATGATCGAACTTATGTGAAAAAGAATTGGATTGATATTCATTTCCTCAAAAATCTTCGTTTCCTCTATTTAGAAGATTGTACGAAAGAGCAACTTCAACAAATTTCGCCATTGAATCAACCTGCTTTAGTTCGTCTTTATCTTTTTTCTTCCTCCTCCGATATACATATTCCATGGCCTTCCTTAGCTCGATTTTTCTTCGAACACGGACGTTTCACGTATCTTCGCTCTCTTGGCTTACAGAATACCCCGATGGGCAAATGCGATGCATCTCTTTTGGACAAAAACATGACCATTCGTCATCTTTCCGTCGTTAACATTAGCTTCGCAGAGCTCTTTAGCCTAATGAAACATTTACCAGAGCTTGTCTCGCTACAGATTAAGGACCAACTCTACGGCCGTATTTCGCCGGTATCGTTCACATTTCCCCATCTTCGTCGATTGAACATCGTTCCAGTGCTCGCAAATGATAATCATTTTGATGGGCTGAAAGTTCTTCTGCTCATCACTACTGGCCTCACACATATTCTACTCAAATGCGTTGGAAGTTATTATAACAAAGTGGATGTCATTCTTAAGAATCTACCATCGCTCAGATATGCTAAACTCGAACAGATCGATTATCGAATTTCTGATTATGCAACTTATGAGCAATCTCAGAGCTCTTGACTTGTTGCTTTTCTTCCAGACAAGCCAGTTTTGATCACAGAAACATAGAGACCTGACATATGTACTGCGTTTGAAAAACGAGCCGAGGGCGACACCAAGCCAGATGACCGCCTTGTAATATCCGAAGAATTTTTCTCAATTTATGACGCCGCTATTTCTTAATAAATAGTGCCTCATTTCTTGACAATTACAGGGTGGTTTGAAAATCTTGGTCTTTCCTAGAGAAATTACTCGTTCTTCTTTATTAGAAATCCAAGAATGCTCAAAATTGAACATCTAATTCATTGTAATTAGATGAATATTAGCTCAGTTATCAGATCTTCAGTTCGTATCATAAAGAAGATATAGATTCGTATGATAGAAGAGTTTTTTTCATTTCCTAAAATCAAAATAGCGAAGACTTACATAAAAAAAATCAGGGAAAAAGTAAAAACAAAGCTGTCAGAATGCGGAAATATTAAGAGAATTATAACGGATCGAATTATATTTTTTCGATTAGCAACTTCGTTTCTTCCAACCAAGTGTGAGACGATTGTAACATGACACTTAAAACATCACAGGGAAAAACATACGTCATGAAGGTGCATAATGCGTCAAGACAAAATACACTCTCTCTCTTCTGAATAGAATTTCTTTTTACAGAAGAAAACGTACAACTGAACCATCACGAAGATGTTTTCTCTCGTCATCAGTTTATTTCGATTTTGTTGTTCTTAATTCTCATCTAAAGCTATTTCAGAAGCAGAAGAAAAGACCGAGCGGATTTAAATAATCGTTGCCTCTGAAATAATAGATCAAGCCGAGAAGTATTTCCTTTCTTATTAGCTGAAGAACTATATGTAAAAAGCTCGTATCATTTCTATCTTCTTGTGTGACCCTTTTTGTTATCAGATACTCTCGCGATCATGAAGTAAAACGTACAATTGAATAAAACATCTGGTGGATGCGTTGTACTATGCACAGGATAGTCGTTGGGAGAGATTGGTTTTTGAGTTGTTGCTCGGCGTGATGATGGATAAACGTCGAGTTGGGTCACTGCACCATTGTGAGCGTGTGAACAGTTTAGGTGACTAACTGAGAAGATGAGATGATGAATAGTGATGATTTATTGCAAAGAAATTAGTGCTATTTATAGCACTCGCGACCAAAGACGATCAAAAGCGGGAAAATTCTATGAACAGAGTGATAACAGAAGCTAGGAACAATCGATATGTCAAGAAAGAGAAAGAGAATGCGATGTGTGTCGATGTATAGATCATCGACACATTCTAACAGCGAGACCACTTTTATCACCGACTAAGTGCCAGAACATTACAAATGAAAACTTCGGATAAGACAGAGAATAACTGACTTATCATTTTATCTTTCCTCTTGATTCGATTTAATTAAAAATGGTAGTATATGATTATCCAATTTGATGTAGAATTCATTTTGTCTCTGTTTCAATGCATGAAATATTCTCTTGACAAGCATTGATCAATAAAAACTCGTTTCTATCATGTAAATTTTTTTCTATAAAATAATCGTTTTCTTTTGCATTCATTTTTACTAAAAAAAAGGTCGTTTTAATCAGTAACTCTCGTAGCGGACAAACAACGATGAAAATTGCTTCCCGATCGTATTTTATTTGCTTTATTTTGAACGGAGAAAAGTAAATATAAACTAGATATTGACACGAAAGAAATAGAAAAAGGAAATATTTGATTATTTTCTCTGTGCTCAATTCATTTAAATCACATATATCAAAATTGTCAAAGTGGTTAGTATAGCAATAATGTTACATATTTATTTGTTACTTTTATTCTTGATCGAAATATCAACAATAGAAATAGGATGTATATCGAATATAACATATATATCCACAGATATTAAAATAACAAAAACTAATTTAACATTGAATCAATGTATATGTTACCAATGGTATTACAATTATTCCGGTTTTAATTATTTCATATTTAATAAAACATGTCAGTTATTTACAAATTTTACCAATGATTTTGTATTAGTAGAGAATATACAAATGACATTTTGTTTTATTAATCCACCGTCAGGTAAGATATAATATTATCCTTTTAATGAACGTTCCACGGAACTCATTATCCACTTTTCTTAAAAGACCATTTTAAGTGGAACTTTCTCTTACAATAGAGATGTGTATGATGGAATTTAAGGAGATAAAACATTTTCGAGTTAAGTTAAAGGTCTCACGGACAAAGTAACACATTTAAAATATGACGTACCTGAACTGAGATATTCGAATTTCAAGAGATATCAAACTTAGGTATAGAAATAAATCGAGAATGATTTTCTTCACTATTGTAACGAAAAACATAGTGATTAGAGAGTTTGAAGGGGACCTCTTTCATATGGCCCGAAGAGCATCATGCGTTATCCTTAGATTAGTAGAGCGAATTGTTTTGTTGGCTCATGTGGTAAATGCCGTTTTTTATGAGTTACAGAAAAGATTCACTATACTATTCTAAGGATAAAACATGATGTTGTTCGGGGCCATATGAAAGAGCATTCTTGATAATTCTCCAATTGGTCCTCACAACACTATGTTTTATCGTTACAATAATGAAGAAAATCTTTCCTCATTTATTTTTATACCTAAATTTGACATTTCTTGAAATTTGAATATCTCTTCCATGTCTACTCTGCGTTTTAAAAGTTTACGCCATTCTAAATGATCGCAAGAATTTTTCTTCTAGAAACAAAATTGAGCATATCATCTACTCTCACTACTACACCTCTGTTTACCTCAGCTTTAACGTCATCTGCATCGCCTACGACAGTAGTACTTGATGTAACAACAACATCCAGTGGTTTAAAATGGAATTCGAGCGGTATTACCGTTGCGAGTGGTAATGGAAATAGTAGTATTCTAAATCCTTATGCAATATTTGTTGATGATGAATATTATCTTTATATTGCGGAGAAAGGAAATAGTCGAATTTCTAAATGGCCTTCAAACTCCAATGGTTCGGCATCGTCATCTGTATTTCGTACTGGTAATAGCCAATTAAATCAACCGCCAAGTTTATATGTAAATAGTGCAACTGGTGGAATATATGTTGCGGATGAATCAAATAATCGTGTTGTATTTTTTGCTAATGGATCAATAAATGGTTCTAATGTAACAACTTCATTATCCGGTCCAGCATATTCAGTTAATGCGATTTATTTAAATCCAAATGGAACTATTTTTATTGGAGATTCAACTCGAAATCGTATATATAATTGGATTACTAATGAAACAGTAGTCGGTGGATACGGAACTGGTCAAGCTGCAAATCAATTCAATGCAATTAAGCGCTTTTTTATCGATACCAGTTACTCTTTTTACGTACCTGATTCAAATAATAACCGCGTGCAAAAATGGTTCAGAGGAGCAACATCAGGTATAACAGTTGCGGGTGGTTATGGTTTGGGTTCAAATGCAAGTCAATTATCAGGACCATTAGGTGTAGTGGTTGACAGTCAAGGTGGAATTATTGTTTGTGATTCAAATAATCATCGAGTGCAACGATGGAGTAACAACAGTACAACAATTGGTCAAACAATTGCAGGTTATTCAAATGGTACGTCAGGTTCAGGTCCATATGGATTAAATTCACCAAAAGGAATTGCTCTTGATAAAAATAACAATTTATATGTTGTTGATGCGAATAATCTTCGAATACAAAAATTCAATGTATTATAATATTCTTAGTTTTCAAATTAAAAAATAAATTCTTCACAATTTCGATATACATTTATCTCTTTAACTGTTCCTTAACCAACTATTAGTCGTCATTATGATCTGTGGTTCTATTTTCAGAACGCCTACTTCGAATATTACAGCAGTCTTACATATTCCGAAAATCGGGAATCGTTGAGATGCAACAGGAGGAGATACGGGAGATATACATGTCCCCATAAAGCGAGGGTGAGGGCAAAAGACACCAACGCAGGGTGCCGATAATCCAAGCCTCAAAATCAAAGAAAATTTTATAAGGACGATGACGAGATATGCAGATGCGAGATATGGTTCATCCTCTGAAGGATATGAATCTCTTGGACTAGTCCATATCTGAAAATCGAGAATTTGCTTTTTTATTTTAGTCTGGAATCGGACCGGGATATATGTGTACACATTTGTCAAAGTTTTGTTTTGATTTATTAAATAGAGATCGTCATAGAATTTAATAATGTCACTTAGTGATGCAATATACAATAGTTCTACAAAGGAAAATTAACCACTGATTACCTTCGATATTGAATATTCAGAGGCATAGAAAAAAGACTTTTATGATTCGGATGCTACTTTGGGGCATTGTGGGTGGAACCAACCATTTTCTTAGTGAATGTTTTTTTCCTTCTTTTGAACGCATGAATTTGTGCTGAAATGTTTTCAGTTTATTGTATATATATTGAGAGAGCTTATCGATTTATATTTAAATGAAATACAGAAAATAAACAGAAAAGGTTCGTGTTTAATTTTTTATTTTACTTCAAAAGAGAACAAAAAGTGAAATAGTACTTTGTTGGATTAATTGCAGTTTATAGATTAGGATCGTGACGATCTTTATGATCCTTTTCGTGACAACCACATTTGTCTTCGCATATTTTAACACACTCACGAGCAGATTGTTTCTTTTTGCAGTCGTATTTACAGATGCTGTAGCATGGGCAACTTTTAAACACAACATCTGTCACTTTTTTCACGATCTCGGCCACTTTTTTTATATCTTTCCATTTCAATTTAGCTGAAACCGCTGTTGTCGAATAACAAAGGACAATAATGATAAGAGCGAATAATGCGACATAAAAAGTTTTTGAAACGACAACCATTATAACTTACACGAATCTAAACGCAGAAAAAATAAAGAATAAAACAAGGCAAACTTTATATGGATCATGAGCGAAGTTCCGTTTCATTATATTTGTTTCTTACTTGACTCGTTGTTGCAAGGATTTTTTTACGTTAATGTTGGTAAAGTGAGAACGAAACTGAAACATCATGCTGGCAAAGACGACATTTTATATCTCCTGAGGTGTTAAGCCAAGGTTTTTTCCTATAACTAGAAGACCATTCATCGTAATGCACGTTGTTGATATCAGTGTCTCTTGCCGTATAATTTGGTAACACGTCAACTCTAAGATTACCTGTGTAAATATACGTGTAATTTTTCTTATCTGGTTCTTCCCATGGAGAAAAAGACTCATATCAGAAAGGTTAGCGGTAACTTGGAATATTCCATAAAATGATTACTGCAATTTGAAATAACAAGAATTCTATTCAGAATTTTTTTACGTTGGTAAAATAGCACGATCACAGAAAACAGCATTGATTGGGAAACAGAGATCCGAAAACCGCCGAGTTACACCGCCTCGCCTCCCCCCCCTCCCCCCCTTCCCCGCGAGACGATTCGGAATATTTGGCGGCGGACGATGACGAGGCGTGTTGCAATTTGGCGAGTTGCCCCGCCTTCTCACGGTGTAGCTTTTTTAAGAAGACAGAAATTCTGTAATACAATTGAGCAACCTTGTGGCGAGTTCTAAGCAACGACGGCCAGTTCTAAGAATTCGTATAGTATTCAATACACCATGTTTTATCTATATAACGAATACTACAGGCTGGTAATGTTCTGAAATTAACTCAACTTATACCAGGGGTCCAAGCAGGTCTTACCTTGGGTAGGCCTGGCCTGTCTATGAAGGCTATGGATCATTTTAGGCTTTGAATGAATGTGATGAACTACTAGTTAAAGAGGATATATCAGTTCCTACCATATTAAGACAATATAAATACGAAACAGCAAACAATAAGATTAGCCGACGATTCATGTAAGATAATATCAATAACCGACTAGAAAGTTTGAACAGTGACTTACCGAAACGGATAAATAAACTAAATAAATAAATGAATATTGAGCAATGAACAATGTAGTCACAATCTATTACAAATCAAGATTGTGCCCAGTCACAATGATATTAAAGTTATTTGTTATCTTTCAGCGGCGTCAATACTCCATTGTGTATTTGATAAATACATTTTCTGATAAAAAAACGAACTTTTTAATAGAGAATTTAGAAAAATATGACAGGCAGGAGGCCTGGCTTACGGCTTGATATAATCTGTCTGATCTGCGCCTATTCAGGTAGACCAAATGACCTGTTTGGGCCTCTAATTTATATAACTTATGCAGATTTTAGATACGCAGTATATCTTAATAGAGAGATGCGACAGCTGAATCTAATAACAATTTTATTCCAGATTCATTTCAGAAAAGAAAAACGATTATCTTTATTTTTAAAATAAAATATTTATTATTATGTAGTTGTTCCCATAAACGATCATAAGACATTTATTAATGATCATGTATAACTTAACATTTCAAATGTATTTTCTCTTTTAATTCGCTGTCGCAAATGGATTTTCGAGGCACATATTGCACTTAATGCTTTATTATTTATTGTTTCTTTATACTTGGTTGTCAATCATTTTATATATCTATAGAATTCATATTAATACAATAAACCAAAAAAAGTAATGGCATTTATGTACATCTGTGCCGCTTCGGATTTTTCATTGTTGAATCGAATATAGCCAAGACCGTATCTTCTCATTCGCGAACATGAATTTAAATTTTAAAATTTTAAACTATAAAGTTCAAATTTATTTTTATGAAAAACTGAATTAATTTAAAAAACTCAACACAAAATTTCTCATTTTTCAATAACTGCAATTTATAGAGGTCCCTAAAAAGCTATGTTTCATTTTTCTTTCTAAATCACTGCCATTTATAGAGTTCCCTAATTATCAATATCTTATGTCGCTTTCAAATATCTGCAATTTGTAGAGTGCGCTGAAAATCAATATTTCATTTTTCTTCTAGATGGCTGTGATTTGTAGAGTTTGCTCGAAATCGTTGTCAGAATATTTTTGTAGCAAGCGCTTTATTTTAAACAATTTTAATAATTCATAATATTTATAAAAATCATCCTAAGAACGCAGCACAATACTGAATCAACTACAAAAATCATGGTGGTCAATTAATAATTTACAAAAGCCAGAAATATCGGGGACATTGTAGGAAATGTTTCTATGAGTCAGAAAAAAAGTTTTTAGTTCTATCTCAATCATGATCATTCTTCCGCACCCTTGCTCGAGGATTATCAGTATCGTTTCATTTAATCATAAAAACTTTTTAGTTTTACATAAGTAATAATTATCTTTGTCTCGCTCACAAATTGCGGAAATCTTTTAGAAGAAAGATTTATACTCTTCAAAAACTCGCGTCCTCTACAAGTTGCAGAAATCGTTTCGCATGTTTAAAACAAAATCTTTGGTCATCAAAAACTTACGTCCTCTACAAATCGCAGAAATTCTATTTAATACTGAATAAATTTGAAAGTAGAATTTTTCATAAGTTTTATGTTTCATATGCGCTTCCCTTAATCAGATATTTGCATAACATTTTGAAAACTTTTATCATTGATTTAAACTTCATTAACGTCAAATTAACCGAAAATTTAAAACAATTTAACTTTGTTCAAAGTTAGTTTTATTCATGTTCGCAAATGAGAAGTAGCCGACCCGCGTCGTAATCACACCGTATAAAAAAGTGTCAAATTCAGGGTTATAGACTCTGTGGTAGTATAAAATTAGTAGCTTTTGTTGATTTATATCCTACACCGTCAAGCACGTCATGTTATAATGTCCTTATGAGCAACATCATATTCTTCGAAAAACAAGTAATTCTCCTCTTTCATTCTCGCGCCTAACGAGTACTAATGTAATACAGAAATACGACCGATCAAGCTGAAACTTGTACGAGTGACTACCAACTCTGAGCTATACAACTGCTCAAAGTTTCATGTAAAAATACCTTTGTTTTCTAGTTGAGTCAAAACGTCTCCCGTCTTTTCCAACAATATTTACACGGTATATATTGTCTTTTTTAACCAATAAAAAAGTAAAAATCATATGAATATGCAACATATATAAATACTTTACTTACGTGTTACTTGTCTATACATCTATTTGATGAGATTTTTTTTTCATGTAGTTATAATATTTGCTCACTAATACTCTCTCTGAATGTTAAGAATAAAGCAAAATCCTTGAAGTTTGTTTTCAAAAATATTTATTTGGAATAAATAATCCGGAGTAAAATAAAAATATAATTATGATATATAAAAAATATTTTAAATATAGCAAAAAGCATACACGCTGATTAGATGTGTTTTACTTTAGATATATACACGATATTCTGGCATTGTTGTCGTTATTAACCCAATGTATGTGATGAAAAAGATAAATGCAAATTTCCACCATCATCTTCAGTGTTTTTGCTAACCCGATGTGACATTATTTTGGACCTTTGTTAGCCTATGGATAGTAATTAGTTCAATCGGGTTATTATTTAGAAAAACTACATACCTGATTATCAGCCTCCTCGATCATCTGTATTACTATGGCTAGAAATAAAAAAAGGGATTATGAATCGATTAGACAAATAATTCGTTCATACCATCGACAGTCTCCGGATTGAACATGTTTTGATAATTGTAACTAAATTGTTGATCGTATATGAAGTAACTTGTGTATCACTGGTGAATATACCTTTCATACAGACATCCATATATATAGAATCATATTTCATGATATTTTAAATCGGAAGCAAAAACACACGCCATAATTGTTGAAAAAAGATT